TAAAAAATGATTTAAAGTAACAACAAAACAAAAAAGGAAACCTGCCCTAGGTGCCCTGGGGCGGTTTGGGTGCGGTTACTCGCGGATTGAGCTTTTTCTGGGAAGACTTTTTAAGCCTGGTGTCATCAGGTGGGACTGAACGAGGGGGAGGAGGTTCACCAAGTTCCATCCGCTCCCCCTCAGGCTGAACGGCTGAGAGAGCAGCTGGTACGGGCATCTCCTTAGATGTCGAGGCCTCTCCTAGCGTCTTAAAACAAAACACACCCTCCTTCCCGGGAAAGGTCCGAGTAACCAAGGCAGGCACATTGTTCGATGGCCCGTCCTTTGGAATGGAGGAGGCACCAATGCCTTCTCCTCGAGGCTGCTGTTGCCGCCTCTCCTCTTGTCTCCCCTCCATTAGCACAGAGGCATCCCTCGCCTCTGCACCATCTGGAGGCCCCTGTGGTGTCTTCGGTTCCAACGACAAATGGAGTCTACCCATATCTTTGTGAGGCAGGGGGAGGTGGTGGAATCCCCAGGTCATTAGGACCGACCTGGGTTCCTACCGAAGACTTTGATGGCACACCCCCTGCACGTGCCACCAAAGAGTAAGGCCCCTTCTGCAGGAAGGAGAATCGCTTCCTGGCTTCGGGGAACGAAATGTTCTCTTTCACTTTGAGTGTTATAATTTCTTTTTCTTCTTTCCATTTTTTGCAAGATCGGGAATAAGCAGGGTGAGGTTCTTTGCAGTTGATGCAGGAAGGTGGATTTGAGCAATTCTCTGTAGGGTGATCATTTTTGCCACACTTGGCGCACGTTGTCTTTCCACGGCAGCTCAGGGCACTATGGCCATACCTCTGGCAGTGAAAGCAACGCTGAGGGTTAGGCACATACGGCCGTACTTTACAGTTTAGATACCCCGCTTTGATCGATTCTGGGAGCGCTCTCAGCTCAAAAGTCAGAATAACATGCTTTGTCTTAATCTCCTGACCGTCCCGGCGAAAAGAAATTCGCTTTGCAGCTATGACTCCTTGGTCACGAAGGCCATCGACAATTTCCTCTTCGGGGGATTCTAGAAGGTCATCTTCTGATATTACGCCTTTAATAGTGTTCAAAGTGCGGTGGGGTGATACAGTAACCCTGTAGTCAGAAACCAAGTTGAGTGCCAGCAGGTCTGAGCATTGTTGAGAGGTCACAACTTCAACGAGGAGATCTCCAGATAGCATTTTTTTTCTTTAAAATTCTTTCCAATCACAGATTCAAGAGTCTTCGAAACCAGGAAAGGGGATAGCTTGGATAAGGGTTTTTCCATTTCAGAATGCATAACAAGAAATCGAGGAAATTTCTCCACAGGTGTAAATGCTTTCATAACGTGTACTTCGGTCCGGACCCTTTCCAGGGCCCGATCAGGTTGTTGGTTTTGCTTGGAACCCATAAGAAATGGGGAGGCGTTCGGTGTCTGTAGCGCACCACCCACCACGGAGCCCAACATGGAGATAGGTAATGCGCCATAGCAATAAATGTTTTGCTGACGACATTACGCTATCAGTGCTACCAAGACACTATAACCTAGTGCGGGTCTAGACAAGGGGTCTATCGCCACCCAAGGTTAGCCCTTGCCGCCAAAGATGGTGAATATGAAAGAAAGAAGAGCAGAGAAAAGAGAAAGATAAGAGGGGATATTAGAAGATGTGGCGACTGACTGAATCATCCTGGTCGGGCCAAGCCAGGACACCCGTCTACAGGAAGCAGGGGCCAAAGTGGTGTGTTGCCTCACCCGGGGAGCCCCGAAGGGTCCAAACCTACCCCGGGCTCAGCTCAACCACCAGGATGCCCTTTTCCCTGGACGCGGGATTGCCACGCACAGCCAGACGTGGGTGGGTCTTAGCCACTTTTTACTCAGGGTCTGTGGTGTCACCAAAGTGGCTGGGGTCCGTGGTGACGCTACTCACCAAGCACCTAGCACCTAAGGTGCAGGCGCCCCCTGCGGAACTCGGGGTCCGTGGAGACGCCACTCTCCAAACACCTGCTTTCACTGGTGCCCCCTGCGGGTATCCAAAAATGGTATTTTGGCACGAAAAGTAGCAGAATTTCGTTCGTGATGCAATTTGGTGCAAATGGCGCAGCACTTCCATCATTGAGGAACTGAAAAAGCAACACTTCGGCATATTCCTAAAATATTAAGCCCGAGAATATAGCTTTGTTTAGCGTATACGGCTAAACAATCTTGTGAATCTCAAGGAACCCTTATCTGCTTCGAGTGGCAGTCGAGGAGCCCCTCCTAGGGTATGATTTTGGTCAAGGTGAGGGCGATGGCATACTCGGCCTCTGATTGGACGTGGCACCACGGCTTGCATGTAATTAACCAATAAGACTTTTTTGACCAGTTCGCAAGCTTAAAATAGGGCGAAATTTCGGCGAAACCAACTTTTGATTGGTGACAAATATTCTCGCAGCCTCTGTCGTGCTTATCCTTAGTACTACTTCATCTAAGAGTCGATGTCACCTTGTGAACAGCAGCGGAACTACTTGAGGTTTGGAAAAGAAGTGCGGGTTGTCAATGGCTTCCAACAAAAAATAGTTGACGTCAACAATTTCGGCCAGAGTCCGATCTTGCTCTGCAGCGGCGCTCGGTTCGTAGCAGACAATAAACATTTTTTCGGTCCAATAGCAAGCAACGTACGTCGTTTTCTCATTTCATTTATGCCTGCAAATGACGCTTGGTAGCAGGTGAACTGCGTTCTTCAATCGCGTTAGCAGGCAGACCGTCTGTGAACGCCATCCTGGCTCGTTCTGCAAGAGGAAAATTAGATCTCGCTTTCGCAGTAACCAAAATCGGACCCCTGGTCTCGGCAATGATGCATTAAAGCTGTGTGGAAGGCTGCAGACCTTGTAGTAAAACATAATGCACATTACTATAGAGCAGGGGTGGCCAAGCTGTGGCTCGCGAGCCGCATACGGCTCTTCGCGTGCTAAAGTGCAGCTCGCGGCTCCCTCCCTACCCCCCCCCCCCTTCAACTTCCCCGCCTTCCTCCCGGCCACATGAGCACTTCCCTAAAAAGAGAAATGAAACGCGTTTTAAATCAAAAGAAAGGTTGCGGTATGGTTGTCTTGTGGTACTGCTACCTTACGTACAGTTGGACTGCTTTTGACTCGGATAGATTAAAAGTAGTTCTGAGTTTTGTTTATTTTTCTAGACAAAGGTTTGCCCCCCCCTCTTTGCGGCTCTTTCAAGTTCCGTGGTTTTGTTTACGGCTCTTTGGCCGTGTCAGCTTGGCCACCCCAGCTATCAAGAAGTGAAAGAAACACTTTACTCCAAGGCAGAAGTGGTCGAGAGAATTCGGGAGCTCGGGGTACCCGGTGTAATGACGGCATTCTGGAAAACTTAGTTTGAGAGTCCATGATATAAGGTACAAGAAAACCAAACCAACGAATGTATTCGACGCAAGAAAAAAAAGTAAATAAATGGTGTGAGAGTAGAATTGTATGACTGCTCAAACAGTAGGTTCGAATAATACGCTATTCGTTTCGAGACAAACCGCGACATTCATTCTTTTCAGAATTCTGATTGTGGCACGTTAGCCCCGCTGAGCGAGCTTCTCACCAAACGCCGATACACCGCAAAGAAGCAACGCCCACAGAACTCGCTTCTGCGGTTCTTGTTTCTCTGCGGTGCACTGGTGCTACCGATGATGATAAAGCCTCAGAGAAGAGGGAAGCGAGAACTTACGGCACGTGCGGCGTTACAAGTGAAGAAAAGCTCGCGGCGCTAAACTGTTCTAACTCTTCGGAAATTATTAAGAATATTCGAAACTTTAAAAAAGTCTCTATTCAAGACAAACAACGAATTGAAAAGAGAGTGATATTCGATTTGTTACAGTTGAGCCCAGCTATATCACACCCGGGTATTTAGAACTATTGTTTATTTCAAACGGTCCAAACAACCCCTTGAAAATCACATGTAATAGTATAGAAGCGTTGTTTTTCTGTATCGAAGTCCCATGGCGGGGACACTGGATATAGCAAACTAACGAACAAAGCACGGCCTCTCGCACGGGCGCCCGTCGCTTCGCCGTTTCTCCTGCAGGAACGACTGCGCCTGCCGCGAGTACATAGCTCGCGTTGCGGGGCTGGCAAGCCGCCAAGCCAGCATTCGCGAACGAAATATGCAGCAAAAAAGCAGTTGTAAAAAAGAAAAGAAAAAAGTGGAGGATGGAAAAAGCAAAGGGAAGGGCACGCGCGTATGTAAGGAGGGCAGGGAGGCAGGGAGTGCCCGCTGGGCTGTAGTTGGAACGGTAGCGTGCGCACTTTCCCTGAACACCGCTGTCGCTGCGCGACTACTTAGACCCAACATATATAAGCAAAAGAAAGAAAACGTTTTCGTCAAGTCAAGTGTGCCGACAACAACGGTTGAGCAATCGCACTTTGAACCTCTTATCTTTGTTTACCTTTTTCTTTTGCCGTTTTTGCTTTGCCCGTTTTTTCCTTTCTTGCCACCTGAATCTAGTGAGGTTTCTTTTTTGTTGCTTGCTTAATTTTATTCAATGGATCTAGAATTTTTTTGATGCAATTTGCTTTTCCGTTTTTTCATTTTTTAAATTATTTTTGTGTTTTGTAGCAGGCACTGTGTGAAGGTCGTGGCTAGGCGTAAACAATCAAACAATCGCAAACACCGTCGCGTAAGCGCGGCGGTGTTCGTGATCTTCATCAACTAAGCTCTGCTGTATTTAGCGGCTCTTAGGGGCTCTACTTGGTAAGGTCCCTTTTGTCACGGCTTTCGGTCTTAGCAGAGACATGCGGAAATTTCAACTAGAGCTTAAGTTAACATATTTTTGTATATCAAATTATCGATATATCAAACTATATTATTTTACGATCCCCTTCAATTCGATATATCCGGGTTCGACTGAATTACAAACTCAAGAGTATTTGCCCACCCTTAGTAAATGGGGGCGTTAATTAAGCCCCTGAGGGCAGCAGCTGCGCTCTTGGGGAAATGCGCTGAATGAAGGGCATCGCACCTCACCGACACTAATGTAGCAGCTGCTGAGGGCGGCCGCCCTCCAGACGCGCGATTCGTGCCCGTACAGCACGTGCAGCGAGCTGAACCAGCCCCTGGAGAGCTGCTCCAGGCTGAGGTCTTCAGCACCCGCCTGGCAGAGGGAAGGGTGCTCATGGAAGCGGTACACCCGCAGGGACCGGTCATCCGACGTGGAGCACAGCAGGCGCCGGGGCACGTTGAAGTTCACCGAGAAGATGACGCCCTGGGTGGGGAAGTGCGGCCGCGAATGAGCTCGGACAAACAATGCCCCTCCTGGCATCATACAAGGTGTTCTTGAACACTGTTCGGTCATAGAAAAAAAGCCTTAGAAATAAACCAACGAGGGGAGTGCAATAAAAATTTCCACAAAGTCATCTCTAGGAGGTGCATTTATCGATATTTCGCGAGTATAGGTTTCTGGAGAAAAGTGCAAGTAAAGAATGTGCTGTTCCTATGCACAAGAAGAAAAATGAAAACAAATCGTCGGGTTGACACTCCTACTGCTCACAGACGGTACCGCATGCGCCTAGATGTGCTGGATCTGACTGCGTGTATTTTTCTCAAAAAAGCTTCCCATATTTGTTTCAACAGTGCCAGCCACATGGTTTGTTTTCATATTTTCTTTTCTCTCTGTGCATAAGAGTTAAGGGCTTTTCATGTTTTTTTTTTAAATATTTTCTTTAAGAAACCTGCGCTCGCGAAATTTGATTAAGATAAATGGACCATCTAAAGACACTTTAATGAAAAGTTTTGGTACACTTCATTCATTGCCTCATTTATAAGGCTTTTTCTACAACTGAATAGTGCTTGAGAACAATCTGTAGATCACTTCAGTTGCAGAACCTCCGACATCATGCCGTACGATGGAGTGTTGAAACTGCGTCCGATTTTTCGTAGCAATGGCGCTGCTGGGGCACCACGCGCATGTCATCTGTTAGCTGGAAGTTTTGAAGAAAAAAAAACAAGCATAATCGGCTCTGCGCATTAATATACAGTCAGATGGCAAGAGGTATCTTTGTCACCAACTCGGTGAGTCTGGGCAAATCTACCGTAAATGTGTCATGCGTGCAGAGATGCTTTTTTCCACATCTCTAGCAAGCAAGCAAGCAACACCCAAGCCAGTAACGAAAAACAAGTAATTCTTAAAGACGTGACAATGCAAATAGCAGTCTTGGACATTTCGAGAATAGTTTGTCATCTGAAAGCACAATGAAGGCTAGTCGTCGATGTTCATAATGCCACTTTATGTGGAGGGTACGCCCCTCCCGGATGACAGGCAAAACAGCCCCTCCTCCGGAGCAAAGTTCCACAACTGAGGTGATCCAATAACGTTGGTCACTCCGATAACAACTCAAATTCTGGCTAAAATATCAATAAATAATAACATTAAACAAGGGTTGGGCAAACTCAAGATTGCATGTAGCTTACTAATCCTGGAATCATCTGTTGCAGCCTCTGATTCTTTCGTACTGTCAGTTTATCACAGTCTGTTTCAGTTTCATTACTTGTACAAGTTCCGCAGTGGCCCGCTATGGTAGAACCACTCCGTAACAAGGTCAGTTTTTAGAGCGCAGCTCTTAGGGGCCCGTTCCCGGCTTGAGCGGCGTCGGCGTCGGCGTCGGCGTCGGCGTCGCCGTCGGCGTCGGCGTAACCGCAACCCTCGTAACCCTCGTGAGGGTTACGAGGGTTACGAGGGTTAATCTCATGAGGGTTACCCTCACGAGGATCACGAGGGCCACGAGGGTTACTTACCCTCGTAACCCTCACAAGGGTTACGAGGGTTCATTACCTTCAAAAGGGTTACCTTCACGAGGGTTACCCTTACAAGGGTTACTAACCCTCGTGAGGGTTACGAGGGTAAGTAACCCTAGTGAGGGTAACCCTCGTGAAGGTAACCCTTTTGAGGGTAACTAACCCTCGTAACCCTCGTGAGGGTTACGAGGGTAAGTAACCCTCAAAAGGGTTATCTTCACGAGGGTTACCCTCACGAGGGTTACTTACCCTCGTAACCCTCACGAGGGTTACGAGGGTTAGTAACCCTCAAAAGGGTTACTTTCACGAGGGTTACCCTCACGAGGGTCACGAGGGTTATGAGAGTTACCCTCAGGAGGGTCACGAGAGTTACCCTCACGAGGGTCACGAGAGTTACTCTCACGAGGGTTACTAGGGTTACCCTCACGAGGGTCACGATGGTTACCCAGGTCACGTGACCCCCCCCCGGGGTCACGTGACCTGGGGTTACCCCCGAGGTCACGTGACCCCCGTTGACGTCATAGCCACTGATGACGTCATCAGTGACGTCACTGATGACGTCACCGGCATCCGCATCGTCATCATCACTGATGACGTCATCGGCATCGTCACGTGGCACCAGGTCACGTGACCCCCCGACGTCACGTCACGCCCCAAGGTCACGTGACTCCCACAAGGTCACGTGACTCCCACAAGGTCACGTGACCCCCCGCCCCCCAAGGTCACTTGACCCACCCCCCAGTACCCTTCCCTCCTCCTCCTCAAGAGCTGCGCTCTAATTCGGCGTTACAGGGAGTTGTAAACGGCTGTCATTTTTTTAAGAAAAATGTTTCTTACATTTGTACTGTAATGTGCCTGGGCCAGTACACGTTACAGTCAAACGCCTTTATAACGAAGTCCGCAGGACTGGCGATAGTTTTCATAGTACAGGTGACTGTCGTAGTAGTCGAGCGCAAAAACGCAATCGCACGAAACCGAGTTTGTACTATCGCATGCTGACAAACCTGTAAAACATTCAAGGTCTTTTTGGGAAACAGCAGGCACATAGCCAGGGGGGGCCATGGGTCTATTACTTTGCACCTAGAAAACTCGCAATACCAGTCATTTTTTCTTTGTAGAACTATGCAATTGCTTCACTAAACAGAAATATTTGTTAAACAGGATTTCGTAGTAGCAGTCGGAGAAACACAGTGAACACATGGGAGATTGGCCAAGACTTTATTTTACTCCAATAAAAGGGCGTTTTTGTATTAGAGGCATTCGTTCTAATGGCGTTTGATTGTAGAATCACACTTTAACATTGCTTCAATAAATTGGTGAGCGCAAGGCATACATGGCATTGTTCTTACTAGCAGTATTATAAGAGTTTAGGGGGGATTGGTCAAAACAAAAGCAATTGCCTGCTGCGCCAAGACCATGATATGCATTTTACTTGGTAAGAACGGCACTCAAAAAAAGACAATGCTCAGTGACACTTAAGTATGTTCAAACAAAAAAAGACCTGCTCATCCCGCTTCAGTTTTGCACGCTCTAAGTTTGCACACTATGTCTGTAGAACAAAATGGCCTATACAACAAACACCCTTGTCAGTCATGTGGAGTTCAATATAAAGGTACTTTTCCAAGATAAACACTAATATATAGCTTTTCTGGAATGTGTTAAAAGTAAAAACAACCCCAAAAAGTGGCAATCGCTGATTCAACACCTGTTCTCAAACACTCCCAAAGTCAAAAGGCACAAAAAAAAAAAGCCTACCTGGTGCCCAGAGAGCCTATGCACCACACGAGCAGGGGCTTGCGCCAGACACTGGGAAGGTGCCCAAAGGATGACCTCCTTGAAGACGGTGCCCACAGCCACCATCAGAGAATTCCAGGTGGAACCAACGAAGTGACCAGCATATCTTAAGATTTATCGGGTTTCTTATAATCAAGGTCATATCATTTCGTCTGCACCTAAAACTAGGTCCAGCTAAAATTACTATAATAGTCTGTTGAAGCTCTCTTCTCGTCACGATTGGGGGTTTCCTCCTTTCCAGCATTTGTCCTGCTAAAGTGGAAAAAGTGGAAGGCTTTCTGGGAAGAGCTTGTCTTACTTTTCTTAACCTGGAACAGAACATATCGTATTTACTCGCACAATGAACGCACTCGCGTAATGAACGCACCCCCAAAGTCGGCTCTCAAAATTTCGACTTTTTTTTTCACTCGCGTAATAAACGCACCCCCAACTTGGACGTCAAACTTTTTGACCCCCTGCCCACGCGCGCGAAATGAACGCACTTTTCTATCCTGGTGCAGGGAGGTCGCGAATGCATGGGCAGCGCGGGCCAGCAAAACGCCTTGCAAACAGCGTTAAAAAAAATTCGAAAAGATCGGACGGAAGCAAGAAAAAAACCCATAAAAAGAAGTTTTTTTTTTTGTTTTTTTTTTTTTTTTTTTTTTTTGCACAACGCAGTTTGGACTTTGGGTTCGCGCGCCGCCGTGCAAGGAGGTAAGAAAGAGAAAGAGAAGCAGAAAAGCGCTCCAAGTGAACGAAACAGCTTGCGAAAGGCGGCAAAAAGAAAAAAAGAACCCCACCAAACTAAAAAAAACACAAACAAAACAATAAAAGCTTTTTTTTTTTTTCTTCTTTTTTTTTTTGCACAGCGCAGTTTGGTTACGGAGGGGTCGTGCGTCGCGCGCCGCGCACAAGGAGATAAGAAAGATAAGCGGAGAGCCCTCGCCCAAGCAACGCCTAAGCAAACAAAACAGCTTGCGAAAGGCGGAAAAAAAAAGACACCCAAGGAATTCAAAGAAAAAAAAAACAAAGAGGAGTTTTTTTGTTTTTTTTCTTGTTTTTTTGCACAGCTTAGTTTGGTTGCGGGGTCGGGCGCCCCGCCCAAAGAGATAAGAAGTTACTTCGATTTTTCAGGATAAAAGGTCCTTCATTATGCCAGTAAATACGGACGCAAAAATTTTACTTCGCGTAATGAACGCCCCCCCCCCCAACTTTGCATCGATTTTTCGTAAAAAAAAGTGCGTTCATTCTGCGAGTAAATACGGTAGATCGGCGAAAGTAGCATCACAAAAAGGAGCAGCCAGAACCCTCAATCTGACAAGGACATGGGTAGGGGCCCATCGAGACATCATCCACGGTAGTAGTCATGTTGAAACGTTCCTTGTCGCTGTACCATAATACGGCAAAATCACCTTTGCAGTAAACAACCGTGAAAGCGTCTGGGACGTCGATGACAAAGTGATGCCCAATGAATAAATTTGGAGTCAAAATGGCGAACCTTGGCACTACGACATTTGCTCGAATAATTGCTGCACCTTTTATGTACACGGCCTACATATATGGTTGTCTGCGAATACCTGTCATGTCCCAATCCCTCTCGAGAACCACCAGCCACCGCAACAATACCGTTACCATGTTTCGTTTCCTCGAAGCAGGTGCAGTAAAGCTAACAAACTTGGGAATAGTAAAACATTGGTTAAGAAAAACAAATTATCATTCCTTTCGGTAGCAACGTGGTGACACCTGCAACGAGGCTTGATGAAATGCACTTGCTGAGATAATCAACTCGGTGACGTGATTACCATTTACCCAAAGCACAACTGTCTCCACTAACTGAGAGGCCCTGCTGTGATTGAATGTATACTGACACGTCGAGCTGTTGCTAGCGGTAGAAAAATTAAAAGGACCCACACAGAGATGAAGGATACAGAATGCAGCTCTCAGTGCAGACAGCCCAAGCGAGACGTTCCTTGGACTTCCAGTCCCAGAGGGACACGCCGTTGTGGCCGAAACAAATGGCCACGTTCATGCACTTTTCGTCCAAAGGATCAAAGAAACCGTCGTCTGGTGCGAGCCACCGGATGTCCCAGATCCAGTCGTCAAACATGACCGGTTGCAACAGCACCTGAAAACTATTGCCCCAAAAAGAAACAGAAACTCTGAATGTATACCCATAATATTTTGCAGTTCAGCACTGCTGCAATTCATTATATAGAGAGCTCTCTGTGCGAGTTAAAACCCAATTTCACCCAATACTTGCACTGGGAATATGTTTTGTCAACATCAGGTTAAATCTACATTCTTTCCATAAATGAAGAAATTACAACTTCTTTAGAATGTCATTTTACAACTTATTTGGATATGAAAAACAAGCTGGAAAAGTAGAAACAATTATGATAAAAGTCACATAATTCCTGCCAGAATAGGAAGTAACATAACTTGAACTGTGAAATTCAACTCTAAACTTCTCAAAAACTCAAATTGCTGTGGCATAATCCCCAACTCTTCCCTGAATCCTAGTTTGCAAAAAAGAACAAAAAACATTAGCTTCACAAAATGTGAAACCCAAAAACGAGACATGCATTATAATACACAAACTCATATCTCTTATGTCCCTTCACAGCGAAGGTGCTTCTCCAATGTTTCCAGCACAAATTGTAGGCATTTGGGATTCATCTCCGTCACTTTTAGTTCGAGCATTGCAGAAGCTATAAGAGCAAGCTCCACACTTTGAACGGTCCCACCGAACATGCACGCCTGAGCAATGCAAGAGTAGCAAGGGGAAGTTAATTAACATTGTTTTTCCCATCTATTCATTTCATTCTGTTTTTATTACCCTTAAATTGCCCTTTTCTGGGCTTCACATCAGGTAGTGGGGAGAAGATACAAAGTCAAGGACGAAGCAGTTATGCACACATGTTACAACTCAGCATCTGGCCAGGTCATATGTCTTAAGTGCATCTCTGAAATAATCTGCGTTAGATATAGTAATAACGATACCAGGCAGCCTGTTCCGCAATCTGGTCGATTGTGAAACAGGCTGCCTTCTTTATTGTAATCCTAAAGAAGCCAAGGTCTTGAACCGAACCCAAATCCCAAGACCGTTATTTTTGACCAAACTGGAGCGAAACCATAACCAAAGTCAAGCTTTTAACGTCGAACCCAAACTGGAACGGAACCGTAATCTCCTGTGACAGTTACTGGTTCATTGGAAAATGGTTCGGCATAATAAATTCTGAGCTCCGTCTTCTTGCGGGTGGAGGCGCGAACCGCGACGGTGGCATCAGCGGCGCAGTTTTGACTAAACAAACGGCATCAACGTGGAGACAGCTCAATAATAATGAAACAAACAAAAAAAATTCACGTCTATGTGCAGTACGACTTGGCGTCGGCGAGTCGGGGCAGAGACATACACTTTTATACTTTGCTTCATTTTGCCGTGGACCTGAAAGGACACTACGAGCCGCTGGAGCCAATTCATAGTTTGGAGGGTGTCATATGCCTTTCTGGTAGGGTGAAAGAGACAGTGTTGGGTAAAGTATATCTAAAAAGTACTTGAAGCAAAGTACAGAGTAAATAAGAGGCTACAAAGTTCAGTAAAGTAGTAACTAAACCAGGTGCAAAGTACTTGAAGTAAAGTACTGTTAATACAATGTATTTTTGAAGTAAAGTAAAAGTACTTTTTAACGGAAATAAACAGCGCGCAAAAAATACACAGGACGAAAGGAAGGTGTGAACGACACAAGCGCTGAACTCACAACTAAACATTTAATGAAAAAACACCAACGAAATAAACCGCACTATCGCTTCAGCACGTGTCAAGATAGGTAATTTCTTTTTTGTGAAGAAAAACGGATGTTTGGCTGACGCATGCATCTTGCCCCGCTTTTGTTATTGCATACGCTTCCAATAATTCTCTGGTAGTTTTATCTGTGCCCCTCCCGATGATGGTGATGTTATTGAATTGGGGCTGGCATTTACAGGCAGCACAATGCAGAGGCAAGTGACCCCCAGCGGTCGACCGGAGTGTCCAGTCATGCTCACGTGCCCTGTCATTAATGCATCGGCCAGTTTGGCCGATGTACACTCTTCCGCAGCTTAGTGGTATCTTGTAAACCACCCCCACCACACAATCAACATACTTGTTCCTGTGCCTTACGGCACATTGGCTCCTGCCCGTAGCCTTATCCGCAATTCTAGGGCAGAGTTGCGCCAACTTTCGTGGCGCCGAAAAAACAACAGGAACGTCAAACCGCCCGGCTACCTTTTTCAAATTGTGCGAGAGTTTGTGCATGTAGGGGAGTACCTGGGGTCTGGTTGCGGGTCTCTCTTTTTTCTGACTTGACCCTCCCTTAATCTTTTTTAGCAACGTCTGTCAACTTTTTAACATAATCTTTTGTGATGACCTGTCATTCTCATTCTCCTGTAAAGTTTTTTTTTCAATTGGTATGCATTCCCTGGGGGTGATCAGGAATGCATCAGTTATTTCCAGAAATGGTCCGCTCATTCAAAGCTGATCTATCCCAAATTACTGGAAGCCTTTATAAAATACAAAATTTACTACGCACCTACTTGGCTTAAACAAATATTATACTACTCCCTAGTTTACTCCAAAATGAGCTTTGGCATCTTGGTTTAGGGAACAGCAACTAACTACACTAAACTAATTATCTTGCAGAAGAAAACCTTGCATATGTATGAAAGTTATAGAGGAGACAGAAGAAATTTAAGCATGCAGCCACTTTTTAATAAATATAATATGCTCAAGGCAGACCAAGTATTTTTTTTTCAAACTTACAGCTGATACACATAAACAAACTTACACTACACCAACAGATAATCTGAGCACATACAATATTTGAAATCCAATGGGAAAGTTGCCAGCCGTAAGAATTATGGCCGACAGAGGCTAAATTTCTAGACACAAAGTAAAACTTTAAACAAAAAAAATTATGTCGGGACTTTCATAAACCTTTTTATAGTTTTAAAAGTGATGGCAGAAGGATGCTCGTGGTATGTGGGATTGCTTTTTCATCTGTGTAATTGCTCTGTCGAACAATTACTGTGTGACCCGTGCTGTGACTGACGATGATGCGGCTGTTATCTGCTCCTAATCTACTCTTCCCTTCCTTTTGCTATTTTGTTCTTTCTTTCGCTCACTAAGATGAGCTGTTAAAAAGAAGAAGCAGAGCTTACGAACAAACGTTCGGTCTGCCCGAGATATCATCCAAGTCACTTCAGTGGTGACGAGTAAATTGCTTTTATGAGTTCAAGTACCCCGCACAAGCTGGCCACACTTCCGGATCGTTTGCACTGCTGGTGCTGTCAGCCTGAATGGCCAGCCATGGCGGCGTTCCTAAGCCCACTGCAGTTCGAGAAAACCATGGACAAGTGGGACGCGTACAAGTTGCGGCTGGAGGCCTTCTTCAAGGGGAACAGCATGAGCGACACTAAAAAGAAGCGAGGTTTCCTGGTGGTGGCATTAACACCCGCATGGTCGAGGTGTTGAGCAGTCAGTGCACCCCGGGGAAGGCTAATGACCTAGAGTACGCAGAGGTGATGCAACTGCTTTGGGCGCACTACTCGCCGAAGACAAACGAGATTACCCAGTCGTACAAGTTTTTTACGCGGAACCAAAAGTCAGACGAAACTGTGAAGGATTTCATCGTGGCAGTTCGGCAGTTGGCAGACACTTGCAACTTTGGGAGCTCGCTGCACCGGATGCCGCGCGACAGCATCGTTTGCGGTCGCGCAACATCCAGCAACACTGCACAGGGGCACCGGTGTCCGTCATCACATGGACTACATACCAAAGGCACAAGGACGTCTGGCCGACACTTTGCAAGACATCGCTCGAGTTGACGTGCTTCCTGGGAAAACTGCCAGTGTGCAAACAGCTGGATATGCAGGTGTCACTAGGGAACAAGATTGTGACCGGAACATTGACAGTATTGGAGTGCACTGATCCTAACCTATGCAGCTGCGACCTGCTGCGAGACTTGAGCTTGATGCACAAGCCCGCCTTCGTCAATTAATGTCAAGGTGAGCGAAGGTCCACTACCGGCGTCAGGTCGATATTCGCAAAGTTCTCCGATTTGTTTGAGCCAGGCTTAGGATTGCTGAAGGGTTCACCAGGGCAGCTAAAACTCCGCATGGGCGTGATTCCCAAGTTTTACAAAGCTCGACCTTTCGTACGCATTGTGAGAGAAAGTTTCTGATGAGTCCGACTGGGCGACTCTTCTGGTTCTGAATGTAAAAATGAATGGCAGCATTCGTCTTTGTGGAGATCTTAAGACGATTGTTAGCATAACATGTCATGTCGAGCAATAACCGCTACCCCAAATTGAGAATATTTTTACGGCACTAAACGGCAGAGAAGTTTTTAGCACTATCGACTTGAAAGATGCCCACAACCAGTTGTTCTTGGATAAGACTGCTAGTATTCTGATCGTAGTTAACACGCAAAAAGGGTTGTTTTCCTTTAGCCGCCTACCTTCGGTGTCGCATCAGCCGTTGCTATTTTTCAAAGGTGCATTGAGGCAATTCTGCAAGGTTTGCCTGGCGTGCAAGTCTATCTGGATGACATCATTGTGGCGGAGAAACAGAACGACAGGAGCCTTCTCCAGACGGTGTTGCAGCGACTGCGAGAATCCGAGTTTAGGTTACATCCAGAGGATTGCAAGTTTCGTCAGCAAGTAGTTGATTTCTTGGGTCACAGAATTGATGCAAAAGGGCTGCACCCGAAGGTGGAAAACGTTGCTGCGGTGATTACTGTTATGTCCGGCATAACATGGAAAAAGAAGAAGACGCGCCTCGTCTTCTTCTGCGACATCAGACAGTGTGCGTGCCTGCGCATGCAGGGACATTCAGTCACGCCGCGATCACGATCGCAGAGTAAAGCTACTCGTTGTGCTTTCCATAAGCGACTCCTGATTACTCAGCACTTAACATTGGCGACGAAGGCGGACCAGAACCGCAAAAGGGAAGACTTGCATCGTCTGAACGATGTCAGCGCTGCAAGGCAAGGTCGAAGAGTTCGACGGTACTGCGTGGTCGGCATGGGCGGAGCGCTTGGACTTCTACTTCCAGGCGAACAATGTGCAAGACGCCGGAAAGAAGAGGGCACTACTGC